AAATTTCTTATTGTATCTTAAAGTTTCTACTATGATATTATATAAATAAAAAAAAAAAAAAAAAAAAAAAAAAAAATACACTTACAATTATTGATGATGATGTAAAATGATTGATATTTTTAAAAGTTTAATATATTATTGAATGATATCATGAGTTAATTTTATTACAGTGATTTTGTGACGTTTCATAATTTTTTCATTTTTTTTTGAAAAAATTTTTTGAAAATTTTTGTTGTTTTTTTTAACGAATGTAAAAAATTAAATTAAAATTTAAAAATTTAAAATACTCAGATGATGAATTCTGATTTGCTAGTTATGGATTGAAAAAAATTCATATAAAATCAATAAACTTAAATTTTTGCAAAAGTAACTCATACATGATGACTATTGATTTGTTGGTTATGAATTGAAAAAAACTCGTATAAAATCAATAAACTCAAATTTTTGTAAAAGTAACTATAATTTGTCAATTGAATTTTGATTTATGGTTATGGTTTCAAAATACTCATATAAAATTAAAATACTCGAGTATCAAAATGTAAAAATTTAAAGTACTCAAATGATGAATTCTGATTTGTCAGTTATGGTTTCAAAATACTCATATGAAATTAAAATACTCGAGTATTTTCAAAATGTAAAAATTTAAAGTACTCAGATGATGAATTCTGATTTGTCAGTTATAGTTTCAAAATACTCATATGAAATTAAAATACTCGAGTATTTTCAAAATATAAAAATTTAAAGTACTCAGATGATGAATTCTGATTTGTCGGTTATAGTTTCAAAATACTCATATGAAATTAAAATACTCGAGTATTTTCAAAATGTAAAAATTTAAAGTACTCAGATGATGAATTCTGATTTGTCAGTTATAGTTTCAAAATACTCATATGAAATTAAAATACTCGAGTATTTTCAAAATATAAAAATTTAAAGTACTCAGATGATGAATTCTGATTTGTTGGTTATGGTTTCAAAATACTCATATGAAATTAAAATACTCGAGTATTTTCAAAATATAAAAATTTAAAGTACTCAGATGATGAATTCTGATTTGTCGGTTATAGTTTCAAAATACTCATATGAAATTAAAATACTCGAGTATTTTCAAAATGTAAAAATTTAAAGTACTCAGATGATGAATTCTGATTTGTCAGTTATGGTTTCAAAATACTCATAGATAAACATTGTGCAACATTAAAATTAGTTATAAGATAAATTTTACGATTATTTATTTTTATTAAAAATGAAAAAAATAAATTCTCATCAAATATGGAATTTTTTTACAAATATAGAAAATGGAGTTATTGAATGTGATATTTGTAAAAGAAGATATAAAAATCCTATTCTTGAAACTATAAAGAATCATTTTATAAAAAAACATAATGATAAATAGTTAGAAATAAGAGTATTAACTGTTATTTTAGCACAATCAAAAAGAAAACAGAAACATTCTACTTAAAAATAATTTTACATTTTCCAGAAATTAAAATAGTATCTTTAACAATTTTAATATGACTTTCTTTAGTTAGTTCAATATTATCAATATGATTAATAATATCTTCTTCAATTTTTTGTTTTTTAATAATTTTATTATTTTGAATTTCATTATTAGTTCGTTTATTTTGTTTAATAGGTACATTATTAGTTTCTATAATTTCTTCAACTTCATAATCAGTTTTATCACGAATTTGAACATGTTTATGATTTTTTATAATATTTAATTCATTATCTTTATTTTTTTCTGGAAAGGTATTATTTATTTGATTCATATTATTTTTTTGAATTTCTTTTTTATTTTTTTCATATTCATTCATTGCTAAATAATATTCATTTGTATGGCATTTATAAAAATGGTTTTTGAGATTTGTTAAATTAGCATCAATTGGATATGATGCTTCACAAAAATTACAAATAGTTCTTGTTTTAAGAGAATTATCATGAAAATATGTTTGTATTGGATGAATATTTCTCATTTTTGTTCGTTAAATTTTTTTTTAAAGATAAAATATCTTGTTTTTAAATAATAAAAGTTTTGTATATATTTTAAAAATATAAACAAACATTGTTATCAGTTTATCTGTTTACAAAAGAAAGAATAAAAAATAAATTAATTTATTTGAAAAAGTATAAATATCTATTTTATACGTGTTATTTTATTATTTTATACATTATAAATAAAAATGAAAGTTAAAACAACTTATACTAAAAAAACATGTAAAAATTGTCGTGAACGTAATAAAAAGTATATTTATGAAGAAGATTATAATACATGTATAAATTGTAAAAAGCATGATTTATTGTGTATACGTTATAAGCCTGCCAATGCAGATCTTGAAATCACATGACTTACACAAGAGTTAAATGAACAACAAATCCAAATTGAGAATTTAGAAGCATGTGTTTCACGATTAGAACATGATTATCACATGATCAAAACAAATCTTAAACAACATCAATTATTAGATATTCAACTTGAAAATTTATTAACTTAATTTATTAATTAATATTAAAAGTATCTTATCTGTAATTAAACAATTTTATCTTATATTTTATTAATAAATTATATATACTTTAAATTTTACAATACATAATATATTTAATATATTGGGATTTTCTCTATAAAAAGACAAGCTTGCTAAGTCAAAAATCTTCATCGAATTTCACAATTTGATACCAAGAACAAGAGCTCTACGAGCTGTTCTTATAAGATAAAGAAATAATAATTATCTTTATTATAATAAAATTCTTTATCTTAAAATGCAATGAGATATTGTCACACATTTCTCTCGATTTGTAAAACCTATTCAAAAACATTTTCATGAATCTTTCGTGATTATTAATAGTATTCCTTGGTGGAATATTGATTTCAATAAATCATATGTTCTTTTTTATTCGAAAAGAGAACAAAAAGAAAAATTCGATACTTTAGAGCATTCTAAAATTATTCTTTATTATGATTTTTTTAAATGTAAATGTGGTACTCAACCATATCTTGGAGATAATTTAAAACGAGAATTTTATCCTTATCTCTGGCAGTATGATCCTTGACATAAAGATTCTAAATGTTCTTTTAGAAGTCATTGTGAATATTTTAAATTATTACAATCAGTTGATAAAACTTTAC